TCCCGTCCCCGCGGCTGCCCGGGCCTCTACTCACCGCCCGCCAGGCTCCCCCCGACAGCGGCCGGAGCGAGAGGGAACGGGCAGGGCGAGGACTCGCCCCCCCCCCGCGCAGAGAGGGGCTTAGTACAGGCCGCACTACGGCGAGCGCGGAGGGCCCAAATTCATCCCGACTTCCGTTGCCGCAAAATAAATAAATAATTCCTCTTCCTGTAGGCCGGCGTCACGGGGCAAAGCCGCGGTCGCCTGCACATGCGCAGCACCGCCACCCCGCGCACGCGTGGGTCATGCAGGCCCTCCACCCTGCGCATGCGCCGTTGGTCTCCGTGTCGTGGTCTGCGCCTGCGCGAGTCCTGCTAGCAGCTGCTGGGTCGGTGTTGAGGGGTGTGCGGTCATTTCGGCCCGTGGCTGGCACGTGACGGGTAGCGGTAGAAGTGTTCAAGACGCATCATAATTTTGTAGGTATCCAGGTTGTAGCCGTATTGATCTACAGGAAAAGGCAATCAGGACTCGTAGTAAAGATGATACCTTTTATTAGACCAATAAGGTTTTTGCAAAAAATTAAAGAATTTTTTTTTTGCAAAAATCTCGTTGGTCTAATACAAGATATCATCTCTACTACGAGTCCTGATTGTCGTAATTTTTGAGGCAGCTCACTGATGCAGCATATGTAAAACCCAAATCACTCCTCTCAGGGGGTCTTAAATGACTTTGGGGATTGCTGCTAGCACTTCCTTATGACCGATTGCTTTGAAATAAAGAAATGCTTCAACTTTGACCCACTTTTCACTCACGCGCTGGGACTTGTAGTGAGCAATATAAAGTAAATAAAAAGGCATATTTGCATATTTTCATAGTTTTTCAGCAAATACAGTCATTTTGAGCTTCCAATACAATTATTTCATATTTAAGACCTGGCAACACTGGGCTTAGTTCATCTGGGATTAGCCGGCCTGGTGCCACAGTGGCCTGGGATACAGCGCTCATGTCGCTGCTCGAGCTGGGGCATAGGAAGAAACCCCCTCAGCAGGTAAATGCGGGCTAGGAGTTGCCCAGCTAGGGCTGATCCCCACTAGAAGCAACTGGCAGGCACCTGCCATCCACCCCATGGGCATTTGCCATACACCCACCAGCATGGTCAGCCCAATGCCCAACCTGCCACAGCCATGTGCCAAGGGCACTTGAAGGCAGGATGGTGTCTCTTACCAGCATCTGCATCCACCTCTGCTGCCCATCCCTTTGGTTCACACTGCAAGCAACTCCCCCAATGCCTTGCCTTTCTAGACCAGGCATGTTTCCAGATCCTGTGAGCTAAGGACTGAGACAGAAAATAAAACAAGCTTGCAGCTTGCACATAGGTAAAGAATCTAGGTTCATGCCCCCTGCACCCTTATGAAAGAAAAAAACCCATGTGCAATTAAACTAGACCCTTGGCTTCACATTTCCACAGGATTCGGAATATTTTGTTGTCCAGGGAATTCTCACAGCTTCATACCACCCACCACCCCCACCAGGGACTCCTCTCTCTCCCTACTCTTCATATGTTGCAAACTCTTCCCAGAATCAGAGTAAGTGGGGCTGGAAGGGACCTCCAGAGGTTACCTAGTCCAGCCCCCAGCCTGAGGCAGGATCATCCCTATCCAAACCATGCCATACAACCCATCATCTAAACTTTCCATAAGACTACCATCAACCCTGAAACAACACACGCCTAACACCCTAGCTTGCAACAGGTAAAGCAGGGGAACCACAGTAACCACTGTCCTGTTTCTGTGAAAGGTTATTAATATATGCTCAAGAAAGCCCTGCTCCCACTACAAAGGAAGGCAACCCCCTCCCCCCAGTCTGTACCAATCTGACCATGAAGTCAAATTCCTTCTGGCCCCAATCATGGCTATTTGCCAGACCCTGAGCAGAGGGGCAAGACCCTCTAGCCAGGAACCTCCAGCTTTGGTCCCACCAGGAACATTGGCACATCTCACCGAGCCACACCAAGAGAGTGGTAGTAGACAGGTCAGTATCAACCTGGAAGGATGTGGGTAGTGGGGTCTGGCAGGTTTCAGTACTTGGACCTGTACTCTTCAATATCTTCATCAGTGACTTGGATGTGGGTGTGAAGTGTACTCTGTCCAAGTTTGCGGATGTTACTAAATTGTGGGGTGAAGTGCACACTCTGAAGGGAAGGGAACAATTGCAGGCAGACCTGAACAGATTAGAAAAGTGGGCAGTACACAGTAGGATGTAGTACAACAAGGACAAGTGCACAGTGCTACACCTAGGGCGCAAAAATATCCAGCACACTTACTGGCTAGGAAGTGATTCTCTCAGCAGCACAGAAGCAGAAAGGGATCTCAGAGTCCTAGAGGAGTCCAAGATGAACATGAGTCATCAGTGTGACGAAATCATCAGCAAAGCTAACCGCACTTTATCGTGCATCAGCAGATGCATGACGAATAGAACCAAAGAGGTGATACTTCCCCTCTATGCAGCATTGGTCAGATCGCAGTTGGAGTATTGCATTCAGAGGAGGCCACTTGTATGGTTAGGGGCTTACAGGACAAGCCCTATGTGGAGAGACTGAGGGACCTGGACCTCTTCAGCCTCTGCAAAAGAAGACTGAGAGGTGATCTTGTGGCCACCTGCAAATTCATTAGGGGGACACAGCAAGGGATTGGAGATGTTCTGTTCACCAGGGCGCCTCTTGAGGTAACAAGGAACAATGGTCACAAACTGACAGAGAGCAGATTTAGGCTAGATATCAGAAAACTTCTTCATGGTAAGGGTGGCCAAAATTTGGAATGGGCTTCCAAGGGAGGTGGTGCTCTCCTTGGGGGTCTTTAAGATCTTGGGGGTCTTTAAGAGAAGTCTGGATAGGCATCTGGCTGGGGTCAGCTGACCCCAGCACTCTTTTCTACCTAGGCAGGGGAACGGACGTGA